CTTTCAGCCCCTGCGTTGATCGTGTGATCTTCTGACGTAAATAAACAAATTCGACGGTAATTACGCTCGGTCTGTCGGGTGAGAAAACGAGTTACCTCAACGATAGTTCGGTCACCACGCTCAGGCCTGAATGCTGAACATCACAAGTACTAAATGTCTGGGAGTTTCCCCATTTACAGGGAACGGCTGCTACACTAAGTGATTCACTAAAGCGAAAACACGCCGCTGAGTTGAGTTTTTAAATGCGCTTTATCCTACAATACTGTGTCAACTGTTAATGGGTGATCACAACTCACAAGCACGTCCGCACACCCTCCTGAATCGTTTGTGTATTTTTGTGGTGCGAAAAGGCGGCTTTGTGTTGAAATTTCGCTGCACTTGAAAAACAAGTCACTTGCAGAATGACCCTAAACGACGGTGTCAAAGCGCATTTGTTTTGGCTCAACGCGTCCGGTCTGAGTTTTAGGGAAACATGCGACCAACTAAAATATGTCAATCCACTATAGAGAAAACCGACCGTTTCAGCAGTGAAACAACTCAAAGAACGTGTTTTTAAACATAATCGATTTGTCAGGAATAAAACGTTTGAATTCAGCCCCGAAGCGTTCAGCCAGACCAAGCTACAAGTTACAATCATTCCACGTAATTTTCAACACATACGGACCAAATGTATTTTGTCATCGTCCGTGAAGTCTATCTTGCAAAAATTGTGAGTTGTTTTTCACGAGCAGCGAAATTACAACACAAAGCGGTCACCTTTCCCCACCACAAACGCACAAACGATTCGGGAGGGTGTGCGGACGGGCTTGTGAGTTGTGATCATCCATTGCCACTTGGCACAGTTTCGTAGGGTAAAAGTGCTAATGAACCGCAGCTGAAACGTCTACTCAGCAGTGTGCTTTCGTCTTGGTGTATCACCTGGTGAAAAACCCTGCCATCTCTGACGGATTCGGTTGGTTTGCTTACTGATAAATGTGATGTGGACAAGACGACAACCGGAGGAAACCCAAACAGGGGCAGTGTGACCGGTAGACCTTTCGGAACAAACTCAGTCGAAGGATTCTGAGTTGTCAGGCTGTACCAGCTGTATTTCTGCGTGATTTTTGAATATAGGCGAAAAAATTGTGAGAAACGAGCCAACAGGTCACCGGATCAACAACCGGGTTGGAAGCTGTGTTCGTGCTCCCTCTGCAGACCTTCACAATCGCGGAATGCTCGTAATTGATATTGACACACTTTCCGAAACAAAGATGTGGGGAAAATAGGACGGTTTTCTTCCAGGTCAGAAAGGTTACCTCGTTTGGAAATAGAAAAATCATCGCGTCTTTCCAAAGTGTCGAAAAATTAGGCAGTTGGAGCCAAAGACAAAATCAATGAAGTAAACAGAAGCATACTCTGAAGCACTTTATGAAGACGATGAGTGGTAAACCAGCCGGACCAGGTTCTCTGCCAAAGTTGGGAGGGTGCAGCTCTTGGCGAATATTCCTATTGCAAAACTAGATAGAGAAGAGGTGTCAGTGAAAAAAGATGTAGGAGAAGTCGCATAATTGAACAAGGTAGACTTAGTGGAAAACCGAGAAGCAAAATCATCAGCTTTCGCCTGTGGTTAATGTGTAAGATCGTCAAAGAACTAACGGATAAGGGGAGGGGGCACGAGCAGGAAAAGTTGGAAGCACGCACATTGCGGAACATGCTTTGACAAGGGACCTTCTCAAAACACTAATTCCATCGTATCAGCATTTACGTGTATCCCAATCCACTACTTCAGGTTGAAGTCCTATCCTGTGTTAACTAACTTCTTAATTGGTATCTACGTCAAAATATTTGAATAACTACAAGAAGTAGACCAAAATCATTTTTCCCTTTTGGAGGGTTGTAAAGTGCCAGGCTCCCCTCCCTCATTCACTTGAAATGATTAGTTTAAATGAAAACCATCTCAGCGATATGGTTGTACTTTTTCTCAAAAATTACGTTGCATTATCATATTTCAGAAATGACAAACCATCTCATAAGACGTTCACTTTTCGTCTGAGCTTTGTCTCACTGGTTCTATGATCCCACTGCTAGTTTATCGCTCGTTTTAATAAAGACCTTGAACTCTTCTGAATACCGAGGTTTATTTCGTTATACATTCTTATCCCTTACAACGATTTTGTACCTCACAGTGTATCTCAGCTCAGCACCGTAACGCTTATAAAGCGGTCGCTTACTAATTTCAATTAACTTTTTCATCCCCTGAATGTGGACCGAATTAAGCATCCCCTTCTCATCTGCGACTTATCGCTCGCTATACGCATATTTGCATATAAGCGTTCTTAAGATCCTTATTTAAATTGCCAAAACCAACAATACTTTAGTTACGACCCTTAGTCCGTTGGCCCCAAAGCACAAACTGGAAGTCATAAGGTTTTCGGAAAAAAATATCACTTTTAGTTGATTCAACTAAACGGATGGCAAATAAACCATCGAGTATTCCCGTTATTTAAGCGTGCCTAACATTGAAGAAGCTCATGACGAAAAACAAAAGTGAGAATACAAAACTCACAAACCAAAAATGTAACACATTCAAATGATTCATGATCGATGTTATTGTTCTACAATTATTATTCCAGTGAAAAATCGCACCGTAACCATGCACCTTCGAGGAACGTGTTCACTATAACCGGTTGCGGGTAGCAATCACGATAACAGACAGTTGTTCAGTTGAAACAAATCCTTGGTTTAACGTGATTGGCAAACATTTTTTTAAGAGGCTGGAATACCGAGCGGTGATTGGCTTAAATGCAGACGCGTCGTTCTGCTGCTTTTTTCTGACCAATCACTTTATGCACACGGTCTAGTCGAGCACGCGGGTCTTTTTACATCAATCCAAATGATTGATAATGAACCAATCACCAGTGAGGAATGAATAGACCAAAGCAAATCGACAGAAAGAATCACCTCGAGCCAAACAGATTTCATCGCGGTCATACGGCCACATTACTTGTGCTGACGTTTCTGCCAAGTTTCGAATGGGTTCAACTTTGAACTCCTTTTGTGTGTTTGTGTGAACATAAACCATTTTCTCTACGGTTCCTGAATGGCCATCACGGAAACTTCGTTATATGCTCATTGCCCAACTTGCAACTGTTCCCTACAAGTCCCCGCCGCTCAGAATTGGATCGATCCGCACGATAGTTCTCCGTGCTTACATCTCACCCATAACAATGTCATTCATTCCTTACGTGAATCACCCAAGCCGTTGAACAACCAACCTACTACGTATCCACTGGATCTAATCAGCCCAACCAATAAACGTATAAAAGCAGGTGAAATCCTAGACTATATCCGGAAAATAATAAAACAACAAACCTTGTGCAAAAAGCACGAACAGGTGCTGGATCGAGCGCTGGTTGAATTACAACGGAGTTATCAAGTGCCCACTGATTCGGTAGAGAATAGCAATCTATCGTGTGATGAACTGGGTGGACAGACGGACCAGGCTCTAATCTATAGCTTTATCCAATTGAAAAAAATTGCTCACTGTCATCATTGTCGAGCACCGGTCAAGGACAGATCCAATGAGTCGGTTCCGTACGATGGTACCTCCGGATCCCGCACTAATCACGCCGGTTTGATTTGGGCTTTGCTTCGTAACTGGTGTGATGTGTTTCGATCTCGTCGACCGCATGCACGCAGGCACAGGGACGTCGTTCGGAACGAGAATGCGGATGCCGGTCCAAGGAATCGGCTAGTTGGTTCGGAGCCGTTCTTTTCTACCGTGGACTGTGGCACAGACCGCGTTGACAAGTCGGACTACTGTTGGCAATGGCTCCTCACTCAGACCGAGCCAGTATTGCTGAAAGACAAAACAACCCGGTGTAGTAATCACGTAGAAAATTATTCCAAACTTTTAGAAAACCTGACTCCCAACATATCATATCCCACTTCACATTCATGTTTCTCTTTTTCGTGGTCCTATCGATCAGATCGTCTCCGTTATGCCAAAGCAGCTGGCATTCCTCTTCGGACTCGAAGTCATAGCATGTCGGAGATTTCAGTAAGTGGCATCAAATGATAACATGTGCATATAATCGATCCCTTCTGGGAATCGGCAGAAAACGTTTTCCTTTTGGAACCACAACTTTTTTCTCGCCATTGTTTGGTACACGGGATACATCCAATATTGGTAGGAGTTGGAGTAGTTCCGCAATCACAAAGATGGTACTGTGGCGGGAAACCGCACTGTTATTCTACAATTAGACCAAATATTCTGATGTTTGGACTGCTGAGGCTCATCTGATCTTCAATTAAAATAAAAGTTTGGGGAAATCAGTCAATTTTACCAGATACGTTCGATGGGATGAATCTGATGAAATTTCTATAACAGATTGCTAACGTATTTTTCTGTTCTATAGAACTATTAGAATTGCCTGATGTGTGCATGGCTTGTAATAGTTGTAGGCCTCCGATAAACGTTTCATTTCATAATTCTCCTTGGTTTCCAGCTGTGGTGGAGGATACAGTGTGTTACATAAACCAAATTACACTTGATTTTAATCTTTTAATGTACATACGTGCGCTTTTGTAATCGTATTTTACTCAGCATAATGGTTTTCACCGCTCACTACACAAAATAATATATATATTCACAATTAAAGCTGTTTTTTTTCAGACCCACAAACCACAACATAAAATAATGGATTGGCAAACTTCCGATTTCCTTTATTTGCGGTTCGAATAACGAAATTTAAGGCAGTTCTAATTCGGGTCAGTTGTTTGGTAGAGAAAAAAAAAACTAAAACCAGACTGCCATCGCATCACGGGTAGACATATGAGAATGGTAAAACGTACTCCCTCGTCGGGTGTTTCGAAGTAATTTGCCACTTCAGTTGTACGCACTCACGCGCATGCCAGTTTTGTATTTCCGCCTACCCAGACACAATCACCCGCCTTCAACCAGACTGTCTGTGTCTGTTTCATTTCACATCCACCTATGATAGGTTTTTGGTCTCCAGGCACCAGGCTTCATTGAAATCCTCCACGTATCTCAGTTGCGTCTGATCTAATCTGTGGTGTCATTTTTTTCAGGAATGCTTTCATTTCACACTAATCGTTGTTAGACAAATGTATACAATCATTTTAGGTCGTAATACAAATCAGTACAGTGTTTTGTTCGTTCGTGATCTCGCACTCGCACACGGTGTAGTGAATCACAGGTTACTATGACTAAGACAAAACGTGTACCAGTACATTCATGGATCAATATTTTTGGTGACGTAAACCAAGTTCAGTGGTTCTCAGCAGACAAGCGAACTCTATCCGACACCTTGATTTACATCTCTGCACGCCACACCAATCACTTCTGTATGTAAACAACGATTAGTGTTGGACTTGGTACATATCACTAACGTGTATTGTGTTAGGCACCACAGTTTCCAAACCGCGCTGATCATCCTCATCTCTTGCTTGCTTGAAACGGTTCGGTAGCTATGATTTCTTCATGAATGTGTTGTATTCGTCACGCACTATCAACTTGCATGCCCAATGGTAGACCTTGAAACTGCATTAGAGTTGCTGTATCTTTGTTAAACCTCACCAGGAGTGCACATCCGTCGTGTTCACTGGAACTCGAACCCGGTTACGTGCATTGTTGATCCGATTCCTTAGCCTGACTAGGCCCACTTTGCGCGTTTACAGGAAAGTAAAAGCATATTTGAATTTTTTTAAATGATATATCACTCAATAGTATGAATGTGGCTTGGGATCAGTAGAACTTATCGTAGTGGTAAACCAAAAACCAGAATAAGTTCTTCCTTTGTCAACCAAAAAAGTGTATACAACCTGAGTGGAAAAGAATGGAATCTGGATAAATTATGTACGACATTTCACTCGTAAACGCTCTGTGCATTTCAGATCTGCCGTTGTAACTGCTATCTTAATAATTGGTGTCAAAAATCATGCAGCATTGATTTTTACCTCTCGGTTTTTAATTAATAGGTCATACACTAAAACTGGCAAACATGAATCATAGCTTGATCGCATTTTCATCTTTTCTGCCAGCCTTCAAAATATTCACTAAAAATATATAATTTCATATCTGGTAATTTGTATGGTGTATAGTTTCCGTCAATTGTAAAATTGCAATCCTTAAATGAGTTCTAAATGTATATGCCCACCAATGCGTCCCCAAAATACGCCCGGTTATTGTGCAGTACCCAAGAGGGGATGATGTGTTTGGCCACTTTCCTGTCGTCGTCGTCGTGTTAAAGCCGGATTGAAATGACACGTGTCCAATTGTGTTACGCGCAACCACAAGTAAACTGTACCGTGTAAGTGTCAAGCGACGTGCTGATAATCTCAAGTAAATCCACTAAATTTGTTTCAATCAAAACGACATATTGCGACTCATTCCTTGGTGTGGTCCATATCATTCATAAAAATGGGTCTAAACGGGTGCCAATCCATTCGAAATGAGGCGATTTATCTTCACATAACTGAACGTACCCTGGGCATGAGTTCCCTGGAGAGAATGGAGGTTTGGGTTGGGTAGACGTTTGAGTTGTTGATCATCATTGTGTTGGCCCCGTCAAGACCCAAGAAGTTGACAAAATGGGCATTATTTAGGCTTTTATTACCCAGGTTGCATATTCTGTATTTAAAAACGGGACAATTCCATTAAGTACGAATGTGATCGTAAATCAGTGCGTCTATGCCCCCGAGAGAATCAATCACTGCATTCGTCAACGATTTACAACTGAAGCTATTTGAATATTAGACATTTATCCACTTAGGCTTTTCAATGAATTGAACTTATCTTGCGGATTAACCAAGAAGTTGATCGGTCAGTCGATTGGGAAACGGAATGCCGTTTCTTTCTCCTTCCATTGTGTATGCGTTCACGCGTGCATAGATATCTGCTGCTCAGATGTTCATAATCCGAATCAGAAACTAATACACAAGTGATGCAGTCAACTGTTAACCGCGGCAGCTCAACAGTTGCACTTTGGTTTTTCTTATGAAAAGTAACTGACCTTCAAAGGCTGTGAATATAGTTGTCTTTGTTCTGTTCAGTCAAACTCTATATTGTTCTGTAATTACGTTTTCCATTTCAACTAAATGTCCTCATTCAAGCATGCCATCGATGATGATTCAACACTAACACGGTCAGTTGTCTTCACCGTTCCGTCATTCCGTTGAAATGGAACAATATGTACAAGTGAACTGACAGATTATCACAGAAGTATTTACCAAAGAGAATTGGGTGCTGTTATCAGGCGCCTCAGGCTCAAATCGCTGGGTCATCCTTAACCGACGCGAGCAGGTGCTTACGAATACCATGTTCATCAAGATATCCGTTAAGAAAAGTTCCCCAGGATTGCGGGTTTGATCTTTCGTTCTCCTTGAAGCATATCCCTAACCACCAATCTTTTTAATCCCTGGACTGTCATCTACATTGAGTTTTACCCTTGAAGAGTGAACTTTTCCATCCCTTTGTCTATCTAATCCTGAGTCTTCTGCGATTTCACAAACATTTTCCTCTACCTTTAAGTCGAAAATTTCCTGTCTGAGATCCAATCATCACAGAAAAATTCGATAAATTCCATATCAAGCTGAAAGTAGCATTCATTTTCTCTTGAGCCCAAAGGTGTTTCTCTGCTAACCATCCCAGTCTTCAATTCTGACCAAAAATGAGAAAATGAGAAAGTATGGAATGAGCGTACACTCTTATAAACATCTTTCAGTATTGTCTACCGTGTGCTCTTATTTCAACTTTCTTCCCATTCTATCTCATGTTTTTCTCACTCAGAAAAATTTAAAAAGCAGCGTATAATAATCGACAGAAAACGGTTTTTACCCGTCAGCTAAAAGTTCCATCGAAGTCAAAAGACTCATGTAGACAAAACGGACTGCCGTAAATGTCAACTCAAATCATCACGGTAATTCAGCTATCTAATGAACTGGGCAACGAGAACAGATATATGAAATGCCTATTTGCATGTCCAGACCCGCAAAACATAGGAATACCTTTAGAGAGACCGAGTTCATGATTGTTCGGATTTATTCACATTACGTTTGCTCAAAGTTAAAACGATTTATTCCGTCATAATACTGCAACAATCACCAAATACTGAGTTATTATAACAGATATGATATTTTGTCTACACTGAGCAATGCAAGTCTTGAAGACGATGACTACACGGTATGACTCCATCTCTCCCCATATATAGATCAATTAATAATGTATTTCAATGATGGGTCCACCGACGCTCGTATCATCACTTACTCCAGCATATCTGCTACCATCGATGTTATTTTAAAATGTTCGTACTATCCGTCACTTTCTCCTGTCTTTCCCCAAATTTTGTTCTATCCGGACTCAAACTGTTTGACTGAATTGCACTAACAAGTTCAAGTTGTCATATTAGTATGCCAACTGTTGTCTTAGAATTGGCACAAAAACCGAACGAATATATTTCGGATGGTTTTTATTTTACTGTAGCATTTGATTATTACCTCACACACAACTGTTAAGTAATTTTTTTTAATTACGAACTGTTTTATTGGAAAACTGAAACATATTGATCATAGGGCACTACAACTGTTTCTAGATGGTTGTCTAAAACGTTTTCTTCAAACAGTCAATAACTGAAAACACCTTTATAAGGTTTTTCAATATATATGTTGTAATCGTAGTTCTGTAATGCATACATTTTTAATTTCACCCAAACGTTTTTTAATCCAACGGACATGCTGGTTCTTTCCAGAGCTTTCTCAAATTTGAAAGCCTCCCGCCGACTGCGCTTGTCCATGGGACGCAGTAGAAAGCGAATTTAACAATTCAATTCTTCATTGTGACAATTGATTATTGTTTATCTCTGACAGCAGTGAATAACTCCATTGAGTGCCCTGGAACTCACCAGTGGCAACCATCTTTGCTTTTGCCCCACACAATGACTTGTATCGAGTTGACTGTCATTCAGTATATCTTAGTGAAAATAATTAGGTTGCAAAATTCATCTTTGTATTTCATTTGTCTTTCCACTACAATTGTTATGCAACATCTTTTAGTTCTTG